GAAAAAAAAAAAAAAAAAAAAAAAAAAAAAAGATAGCAAAAGATATTAAAGAAGAAAGATAACCCAATAGATCATAGCAGATAAGAGAGAACATAAAAGATTATAGCATTAAAAAACAATATTTTGTATGAGAAAAAGACAAATGGCTAAAATGGAAGGAGGAAAGAGATGAAATTGGGATTTGAAAAAAAGAAAAAGAAAAAAGAAACCCATCCTAAAGGCGATGAATTGGGTTGTAAAGTTGGCTTGGCCTCGAGCTTTTGTTGGAACTAAAATCCAATTTTTCAGAGTGAGCAAATCTCGGAGACGGGTTTTAGATTTACATGGAAACCAAACCAAACCCACATGAGTAAATTGCAGTGGGGATGGATCATACGACTCATTTTTCACCATCACAGTCGGTCTACCCATGAAATCAGGAGAGTGGAGCGAGGATTTGGGCGACTTAATCGATTTCTCGCTCTCTTATGTATTATTCTAAATCTCTTTTTCCTATTTTCAAATCTTCCCCCTTCTTCTTCGACTGATTTGATTTGATTTGATTTGATTTTTTCTTCCAGACATGTAACTGGATTTCAGAACAATCTAACTCTTTCGAATCTTTTTGTTGTTCTTGCCTTGTTTGCTTCATTTCGCTCTTTGAAATTCGTGTTGATTTTTGTACATCTGGTTCTTGTTTGTTCAGAATCCTTCATGCTTTGTGAAGTGGATTACAGAGCTAGGGTTTTAGTTTTAGTACTGAGAAAGCTGAAACTAGGGTGGGAGTATTAGAATCTTGGGTTTTTGTTTTGAATCATAGATGGAAGATGATAGGAATGGGCGAAGAAGAGCAAAAACGGAGGTGTTTTAATCATAGATTTGGGAGTTTTGGGACAATTGGTGGTATTAGTGGTAGATCTTCTTCTAAGAAACTAAAGCCAAAGCCTAGGAAAGTTCCTCAAAGAGGGCTTGGTGTTGCACAGCTTGAGAGGATTAGATTAGAAGAACAGCAGAAGAATGGTGCTGGTGCTGGTGCTGCTATTTTTTCATCTCCTTCTCCATTATCACCAACGAAATCCTCCTCTTATATGTCCTTACCAATCCCCAGTTTTCGCCAATCCAATCGTTCTTCATCTTCGTCTTCGTCTTCGTTCCTCTCGCTCCCTCCAGTGAGTCTCTCCTCTTCCACCTTAATGTTTGGACCTCCTCTGCCTGTTCTTAACATGGCTGTTAAAGATTCTTTCACTGTTCCATTGGTGGATCAAGCAAATAGTGGTGGATCTGAAACTGGGTTGTCTGCAGTTTCTATTTTGGAGCAGGGAAATGCTCTCAAATGGCATAGCTCTTGTTTATACTCTCTTGAGAAGGAGAATTGTGGGTTCCATCCCGGTCAGGCGTTTCGTTCGAATTTCGATTTCCCTTATGAAGTTAGCCCTCCCTGGCCTTCCCCCGAACTCCTTCAAAGAGTTCAGCAGAATCATTCACCTTCTCCAATGGTAATCCATGAGTTCTTCTTTTTCCTTGATTGTATTCTTTTTAATACCTATTTGATTAATGGAACTTGCAGGTGAATGTGTCTTCAACAACTTCACAGTCTTCTGGCCTTAATACCCAGATAGAGCCCCCTTCAAACCAAAGCTATTGTTATGGCAACTACTCAACCATCTGGGCAGACAAGGAAGAGAAGGTGAATTCATTTACTTTAACCATTATGGTTTTCTAGACAGATTATCCCCCACTGAAACATGCTCTGCTCTTGTTTGTGGAATTCCAGCATTTAGTTTAGCTCAAAGTATAGCTGTTTCTATGAAAATGATTGTGTAAATTATGTAGTTACAGATGGTTGGCACAAACAGATTGTCTCTCTTTAATCCAAACAATCCAACCGATCCGACTTTCAATTACAACCACTATTCCTTAGCTATTCCAAATAGATCAAATGATTCTACTTCGCACGGCAGTGGAAGTGCACCGAGTTGTCGGTATGACAAACCCTGATTTGATCTTACTCTATATGCTCTAGATATACTATAACAGCTCAAGCCTACTGCTAGCGGATATTGTCGGGTGATTGTGAGATCTCACATCGGTTGGGGAGGAGAACGAAACATTATATATAAGGGTGTGGAAACCTATCTCTAACAAACGCGTTTTAAAAACCTTGAGGGAAGCCCGTAGGATATAATATCTGCTAGCGGGGGGCTTGAGTTGTTACATATACAATCATATATGCCAAAAGTGTTGTTTCAATGTGCAGAGAGGTTCATACACCGAGTTCCTTGGAAAACAACAAAGAAGATGACGACTTAAAAGGAAACTTCCTTAGCCTTGCTTGGACATCATGTCCAAGCTCGAACAATGTCAACTGCCCTCGAACTTATCCACTTCTGCAGAACCATATGCATTCCGATTCAGAACCGCATCCTTTTCAGGTGAGAAAAGAGAAAGGGCGTAATGGTTTACATAGCTTTGGTTGTGTGTTTTGCTGAAAATCGTTTCTTTTTCATTTGACATGTCGAAGGGAGGAGGGAGACGTGGCAGGTTGACGGGAAAGCAGCCATTCTACAGCTTCCTTCCACCTGCAGAGGCAAGAACGAGGAGAGAGAGCGAGATGGCGGTGAACAACAACAAGTTCAAGGGGGAAGCGGGAGAAAGAGTTGATCTAGATTTGAAGCTGTAGAAGGTAGAGAGGCTAATGCTTTGTTGTTGGTACCAAAAGTGGCTGGTGTTCATATCATATCTTAGAAATCAATTGCTACAAAACCTGTATGTTACTCTCTTACAACTTCTGGTTTTTGGTTAAATTATGCAAAATTTATGTTAGGAAATCCAAATCTTAGCCTGAAGTTGGTTCTTCTTGGTGCCTTTTTCTGTTGCTGCCTTTTTGTTTTTCATTTTTTCATTTTTTTTCCCTCTCTTTTTGGTTGGCCTGCTTTAAAAATTAAGAATTAAAGAAGTTCAGGTTCCGTTTCTCTCTCCAATTAATGTGGGATCTAACTTCGTTTGTCTCACGGTTTTAAAATGCACCTACTAGGCAGAGGTTTTCAAATCCTTACAAGAAATGTTTCGTTTTCCTCTCCAACCGACGTGGGATCTAATCTCACAATTCACCCCCTCGAGGTTCTAGCATCTTCGTTGGCACACCACTCGGTGTCTAGCTCTAGTACCAATTGAAATAGCTCAAGCCGATTACTAGTAGAAATTGTCCGTTTTTTCCTGTTACATATCGTCAGTCAGCCTGCTAAGTAGAGGTTTTCACACTCTTGTAAGAAATGTTTCGTTCTCCTCTCCAACCGACGTGAGATCTAATCTCACAATCTACCCATTGGGGTTAGTGTCTTCGCTAACACATCACTTGGTTTCTCCTCTCCAACCGACGTGAGATCTAATCTCACAATCTACCCATTGGGGTTAGTGTCTTCGCTAACACATCACTTGGTGTCTGGCTCTGATACTATTGGTAACAGCCAAAACTGATTCTAGTAGATATTGTTCACTTTAGCTCGTTATATATTGTCGTCAACCTCACAATTTTAGTTCACCACTAATAGATATGTGTCTATTTTGACTCGTTATATATCACCGTGATCAAAGACGTCGGTCGTATATTGACAAAAGTAGGAACAATAAAGCAAATAAAAGAGAGAGCAGAACAGTAGAGTGTGTCTAACACAGCCTCAGCAGAAGAGAGAGCAGAACAGTAGAGTGTGTCTAACACAGCCTCAGCAGAGTGTCTAAAACATCCGGAAATTTAGATCAACAAACCTCCTGTGAACATATATAACTCAAACACACCAACTCATCTATGACCAACCAAACACATAATCAAGGACATAGACCAGCACAAGAGACAGGGGGTAGAGAAGGAGAGCCACCAGGGCTGTCCACAGCGGGAACGCGGTTCGGAAGCTCCCGAGCAGTCCCATGATCATCGTAACGACCAGAATAACCAATACTTCAGAAGAAAAGTTCCAAACCAATCCTCTCAGATAAACAAGAGCCAAGAACACAGATAGACAAAGCACATTGTTCATTGTCACTGCTCCATATAACTGCACCAAGGAAGCTTAGATATCAATCATTCTTCCCCACACAGCACACTTCAATATTAAGTATATAAGAAAGAACAAACCTCAGAAAATGTTAAGGAGGCGGTTTTTCGCTTGTCACGGCTTGCAAAGATTATAGCAGAGACTGCTTCACTGGAGTTGGTTGCTAAAGGCAAAGCTATAAACGAAATGAAGAACGCAGGGATACTCGTTGCATTGGAGAAGTTATGTACAACGTCGACCAAAGGATCGGCAAAGGCAGCAGCAATGGCTGTTCCAAGCAACAAGAAGAGTATGGCTCTGATCAACACTCCCTTGCTCTCCTCGACACCCTCTACAACCTCGTCACTCTGTTCCCCGACATCCAGCAAATCATGCTCTCTCTTTGTTTCCTATATATACATCATGTCATGCTTCAGAAACGTGACGGTAAGAATCAAGAGGAAAATTACAGCGCTCGCCGACCAGGTTACAACTTACTTGATGAAAGTTGTGCAGGTATTTCAATGTGTGTGGACCATCATCAGCTCTGCCAGTTCTTGCTCCTTGTACTTGAGCTAGCCACCTAATGATCCCATTAGCAAACTCGATAGAATCGACATGGTTATCACGAGAAGTATCGAAGTCACTCAATATTTTGTTAACAGCATCATCATGATCTAAGTCGATCGCCTCAAACTGAATGCCAACGATTAATGCTCTCAGTTCAGAAGCTGAAAGAAGTCCATTCTTATTCGCATCGATTCTTGAAAATAGCCTGTCATGAATGTTCATTGAGCAGCAATCAGAATCTGATGTAAGGCAATGATCAAAATGAAAGATTGAACTTATTGTGTCAACGAACTAACTTTTTTATTATTTCTCTATCTGGCTCCCCACTTTCTGTCAGGAGTCTTCCAAGTGCTTGCTGTTTTAAATGTTTTAAGAGCCCGAATATAACATGCTTGTGCTTGACAAAGGCAAGTTTCCTCCTTTGAATCCATGGCTGGAAAACCTGCACAAATTTTTTCAACTTATGAAGTGGATATCAAGTTTCTTAGCACGCCAGTACACTGTAAAGGTCTTGACCCTTCAGTTGCAGCTAAATGTTTCGACTCGGGAAGACTAGAATAGCCGCCAATGTTTCTTGCTCACCGAATTCAAGACGTTTGAAGGGAAGGTAAGCTCATTTGAGTTAGAATTACGGTTATAAAGACCTCTACTATGGACAATGAGTTAAAGTCAAAAGACGAAGACAGAGTCTATTTGCTTTTTCACCTATTTACCTCGTGAAAGAATAAAAGAGAAATAAAAGCGAAAACTATTACTCCTTGTTAACCTCTCCAACTCGGCTTCTCTTACCTCCTTCACGTTTCAGCTCTTGTTCTACTCCCCATGTATGGACAAATAGTTCCAAAAGACGAAAATAAATTGTCGAGTAAACCGTAAAAAGACGATAAGAAATAGAGAACGCACCTGGTAAAGGCAATATATAATGAACATTGAAACAGAGATAATAAGAGCAATCAACACAGCCAAGTGCCTTCCTGAAGTTGAATTGAGCAATTGTGGAAGTTGAACTACTAAAAATGGAACAACAGATATAACCATAATCCTGGCAGCATAGCTGGTCCAAATATCAGTGCTCACTCCAGATTCTGCCAAAGAACAAATTACAATGTAAAAAAATATGTCCTTATCTTTGTAGATCTTGATTACCCATTACAAATGCCATCATCCTTGTTTGAACAACATAAAAAACACAAACCAAATGTAACACAGCCAAGTAATTGTCCCGTGAAAATAGTCGTAGCGTGCACACGAGGCATACAGGAACACAAACAGACACTTCGGAACTTCTTCGGATATATTAATGAAAGCATATGACAATGGCTTATTGCATGAAAGCAAAATGACATACCAGTCAAGCTAAATCCTTTTGTATCCTGTAAATCTATGGCAACTGAATCCTGAAGGTCACACTTGCCAACAATCACACATGTGCCCCAGATGAGTGTGAGCAGCATGACAGTTGAACCAGCTAAGAGGCCCATTCCCACAGAAACCTGGCTTTGTGCGACTTCAGCACTTCCTGCAAGACCAGAAACTATAGAAAAAAGAAGATTAGAGGGTTATCTGAAATAATGCATCGATGGTGATATTAGACTTGTAACAACTAGTGATATTGTCCTCTTTGAGCTTTGAGCTTTCCCTTTTGGGCTTTCTCACAGTTTTTAAAACGCGTCTATTGGGAGAGGGTGTCCACACCCTCATAAGAAATGTTTCGTACACCTCTCCAACCAATGTAGAATCTCATAATCCACCCTCTTGGGAGTCCAACATCCTCGTTGGCACACCGCTCGGTGTTTGAGTCTGGTACCATTTGTAACAGCCCAAGCCCACCGCAGATATTGTTCTCTTTGGTCTTTCTCTTCCGGCTTCCTCTCAAGGTTTCTAAAACATGTCTGTTGGAGAGAATTTTCTACACCCTCACAAGAAATGTTTCGTGTCCCTCTCCAACCGATTCGATGAACGAGGTTTTGGAAAAAATCGTGCCCAGTGTGGAATCTAAGGGCTACACTTTTGAAATATCCCGGTTCAAGAAAAAGGGATGAAAATCATTCAGGTTCTTGATGTTGAGGTCTGATCAACGAGGTTTAAATCAAATCAGCAAAAGTTGAAGTACGATAAAGTTGATATCAACAACAAATTGCAACAAGAGTGAGCATTAGCAAAAGCAGAGAGATCCGCGAGCCAAGCAAATTCAAACCCAACAAAGTAGAAGTATAGCAGCAAATGAGACTTTAAACAAACACTTTTTCGGGTCAATTACCGAAACCTTTGAAAAAGTAGCCAAGATAAACAAAAGACAAATTCCTGATTTATTTTCGGGTCAATTTCTGCGATCAAACAGGTCGTATGAAGATGAACAAATGGAAAAGCAAAGTAAAATGCAGATCTATCAATCATTTTCCACAAATCCCAGTGATCTACCATATTAGAAATCATGCTTCAAAAACCCATCAAAGTGAAAAAGTAAGCAACAAGTACCAAGAATGAGCATAGCATCAGGAAGAGCACCAAGCGCAGGAAGAAACAATCCCCCAACAATTCCAGGTCCCAAAATCTCCAACAAGAGCTCGCTTCCAGTAGACAAATACTTAGCAGCCAAGAACATCAAATACCCATAAACGATAATCAAGAACAGATTCCCCAAAGCAGAGGTAGTACATGGAAGAAACCCATAAGACTCCTCACAAGATTCCTCCGGCGTAGAGACAGATTCCAACGAATTAAGCCGCAAATTTTCCTGCAATTCATTGACGCCATCGGAGACCAGATCAGAGGAAGAAGAAATAGAAGAAAATCGACTGCTGTTGGATTGACCACAGAGGAGGAAGAAAATGAGGAGGAAGATGAGATACAGAGGAGGTCTGGACATGGCTATGGGAGCAAAATCTGGAGGTGCAGCGAGAGAGATGAAGTGGGTTTGAAGAACAGAGCTGTGGGATTAGCTTAAAAGAAGGATCGATTGGTTTGTGACAGAGAGATTTTGAGACTGAACCTGTGGGGCTTACAGTGCTTCCATGTGAGGAGGGCGATCTTCTCCGCGAGGAAGATGAAAGAATTTAATTTAATTTAATTATTAAAAGTTGAAAATTCTAAATGATTTTTTTTTTTTTTTTTTTTTGCATAATCAAATCATTTCATTTATTCTTAATTGTTCTTTCGGAAAAGGAAATGGTCCATATAATAATTATTTCGACTAAAGTTTCTTTTTCGTAATATAAAATTGAGGATTATGAATTAAAGGATTCCATTAATAAATT